ACGAGTTTCCCTGGTGTTGGCCAGAGTGGCCACCAGGGAAAGCTGGGGAGGGCTAGCCTCCCACTAGTTCGAATTAAGGGGCTACACAGCCCTTAATTCGAACTAGTAAGTTCGAACTAGGTTTAGTCCTTGTAGAATGAGGTTCGAACTAAGCGCTCCGCTAGTTCGAATTAAGTTCGAACTAGCGGAGCGCTAGTGTAGCGCCTATCAAAGTTAATTCGAACTAACGTCTGTTAGTTCGAATTAACTTTGTAGTGTAGACATACCCTCACATCCCTACCCTTAAGCCCACTCACACTTTTTCCAGCCTATTCACTACTTACTCAAAACCCTGGAAAATGAGGATCTCCTGAGTCCTGAGGAAGTGGGAGGCTGTCACAAAAGGATGGGAAAATTAAATTCAAATTCTCATTAAATTCCTGTTTCTATCTTGACTCAGATGCACAATAGCAACTCCTTTCTAGAGCACAAAATGACAGCTTGCCCACATATAAATCTGTTCCCTCAGTTATTTCCACTCATAGCCCAAAATTCTTTCTTCTTGAGCATTCATAGAAAACACACACACAATTTTTGCGTGGAAAGGAGATCAGCTTATATACACATTCTCTTCCATGTGCAGATCTGATGAGGGAACCATAATTTATTGAATTAAATACCGATTCCCTTCACTACTCATGCTTCCCTCCTGTATATATTACCTCATACAGAAGACAAACTATATTTTTTAAAATTTTATTTAAAAGAGAGTGACTACATTCCAATATTCAGCACAATGAAAGGTTTAATTTTAAATGTTTTAATCATAAATACACATCAAAGGTCTCATCAAAAGAAGCAATGACAGAATCTTAAGTACTAACTCATGTCAATCAATGCCACTGTGTCTCTGGTAATTTATATATTTCCTTTTGTAATTCTTACTGGAAATTTTTGGAAATATAACTCCTCGAACATTTCTTGATTTTTCCAGAGACCCGAGAAGGCTCCAGGAGGCAAAGGTAATCTTATATTAAAAAGGACAAAATGCAGTAGTTAGAATAATAAGATACAACTCAAAAGTTGCAATGATGCATAGTATAATAGATAATCACAATGTGACAGAACTGCATTTATATCTCATTCGGGTAAGCAAATGACGATGAGGCATTTGGATGACAGTTCCTTTAGCACATATATTGCTTAATGTGAGATGATTCTGAAAGTTAGGTAATTCATAAACTATTGTTAAATCACATTCAAATTCTAAACTTGAAGACAGTTGTAGCTGGTACATTTTATATAATACCAGGGCTTCCAACTTTTAGTAAAATAAAGTTTGCTCTAGTGAACATGAAAGAGCTATAAATATCTGTCATCATCATTCAGTTTAAAACATTGACCAAAATAAAGAAATTTGCAAATATATATGTGAATGACATAGCTATAAACATTTTATGATACATATAATACATACATACACACACACATGATCACACACAAAATCAGACCTTCAGTTTGTGTAAATTGTCCCAGCATCATTGACTTCAGGATCATAAGAATATGGATCAAGTATTTTCAGATGGTTGTATTCATTTTAATTGAATAAAGATGAAGTGAAATTATGCAAAATAAACGGTAATAATTATTGGGGGGGAGATAGAGAAAGGAAAAAGCCAACATTTTCAAAAATAAAATAATTTGGGTTTCATTCACAGAAGAGAAGAGAAATGACAGAAGTTGAAATGCACCATCAGCTGATTTTTCAACATGTTTTCCATTCTGCCACTTCAGTCAGTATCTAAATGTGATGAAAATAGAAGGGACATTCCACATACGTAATACTTGTCAGATGGGAAGATGCTGCAACACTCCCTGGGTTGACAAGGAGAAACAGTGATTTTTTTAACTCCACAGTATTGGCTATCAATATAAAATTAAAGGAAACTGGGTTTAGCCCCAAAAATATAAATTCAGTGGAGGGGGGATTGGGATCCTATAAAGGTTAATTCTGAAAGTGGGTTGGAGTGGGAAGGAGGAGGAGAGAATCTGTGCAGACATAGATCAATTCAATAATGTGGCACAGAAGGTCTCCTGGTGTCAGCTTAGGATGAATGCATTAATACATGGAATCTTCATTTTCACCCTAGCAGTAACCAAACACTAACAAACACCACTATGATTTATAACACTATCCAAAGAATAATACCTCCAGCATTGAAACATTCCTCAGTAATGTCCATACTGATAAATTATAAACCACCATGGGTATGGAACGAGGTGGAACGAGGTGTACCGGTAGTTCGAATTAGAGATCCTAATTCGAACTACCTACTCCGTGCCGCGTGTAGCCACAGGCACGGAGTTCGGACTAAGGGACATTTAAAAATGGCGGCGCCCAGCACGATGCAAATGAAGCTCAGGATATTTAAATACTGGGCTTCATTTGCAACTTCGAATGCCTACATTAGCCTCCCTAGTTCTAACTAGGGGGCTAGTGTAGACATACCCCATGGAACTTAAGCCCACAGGAACAACATTTATACAGAAATCACTCCTGCCACCAGCAATGTGGTCCACCTCTGATGTCACATGTGTCTGATGACACATTTAGGTCAGAAAGAGAAAATCAATCCCATAAACTACACACGGAAATCGGCTTGCCAGGATATACATAAAGGCACTGGAATTTTAAATTAACACCCAAAGGGCCAAATCACCATACCGTGGAAGTCAATAAGCATTTTGCTGCAGACTTTAATAATAGCAGGACTGGGCCCTTTAGAATCAGAGGATGAAGTACCAAGTGATCAAGAGCTCTATTTTGTGTTTCATCTGAAAGATCGCTTCACATAAAGCATAACCTAGCACTAAGGGGTGCACTAGTTCTGTTCGGAGATACTGGAGAGAGAAATGTCATTTGCCTATCACCACTTCCCACAGTATTCTCAGTTTCCTTGGTGCTCTCCTATCACAATACAGATCAGGTCTGACTTTGCTTACCTTGTGAAATCTGACAAAAACCATAATCCAGGAGGATATGATTGAAAAACTTCTAAAAGCCCTCCCAAATACGAGAAAACAGATGCAGTGCAGCTACTGGGAAGGGATGGTTACTAAAAGAGGATAAAGAAAGAGGGTGAGAGAAATAATAGTGTGGTTTAACATCCACTGTAGTTGGGATGGAACAAAAAGTACTTCATTCTCACTGAGAAATATTAATGTATCATCTTGATTCTTCTCAGTATAGAACAGAAATATTTGTCAAATACTGCATAATGAGTCTGTGTGTGTTATGTATGATGATTGACAATTTTACTATCTATCAGACCTTTACTGCTACTAAGATTTTTCCCAGGGCGTTTCACAGCAAGAGTGAAAAACCAGCTATATTAAATACTAGGGGAGAAGTACCACACTGGGATTAGAAACACAGACACAGAGTTGCATGAAAGACTCTTGTTGGAGATCAGCTGGTAGAGACTGCTATCTTTATGATATGCTATGTCTTACCTTTGTGTTATGGCAGGGTCTAAAGAGTAATGTTAGCTAGGGAGACAGAAGTATTGGTAATTACCTCAAAAATAAATTCAGAAGATTTGTGACATCTACAATCTACAGATAAAAGGATTCTGAATTTCCCCCAGCAGTGGAATTTTCTTTTGATTTTTCTTTGCTAATGTTCCTTATGAGAACAGACAATATTCTGTTTTGCTAATAATAATGGTTAGAAAGAATTAAAAGAAAGAAAGAAATCTGACCTTCCTGTGACTATGTTAAAATATCTGTCACCTCATCAGGCTGCCTTTGCTAATGGAAGCTGGAGGTCATTACAAATACCACTTCAAAATGAATTTTCAGTTAATTAACCTTCACGTCCAAAGATTTTAGCTCACAGAAGAGGAACAGAGACCAGCTGCCTCATGCTAGTTTACCTTCTCTTCAGCATGGCTTAGTAGGTACAGCACTAGAATGGGACTGGGTTCAGGTCTACTGCGGATGTAGGACAAGTCATTTCCCCTCTCTGTGCCTCTGTTTTCCCATCTGTAAAATGTGGCTAATGATCATGCTCTCCATTTTAAAGCATTTTGAGATCTAAAGATGAAATGTTCTATTGTAAACACAGAAAGGTTCTTACAATGCAGCACTCACATTGTAAGCAACACTCGCATTGTGGCAACTCCTCCGTGGCAGTTAAGCTGAACTATATGTTACTACTCCTCTTCCACTTTTGGGGCAAACAGTCAAGTGCTTCAAAAAGATCGTTGATGTTGGAAAAAAATCTAATCATTATCTATTGTTCTGGATGTGCTGCAAATATCCAGTTCACTCTCCCAGAGCATAGCCATCGGAAACTTTTCCCCTCATTAGTAGCTGTTGAGGCTTAGAAAGATCTGCCAACGAAGGGTTCTGGGGTCGGCAGATCCTCGTCTAGACTGCTGCGCTGTGCTGACAATCAGCTGATCGGCACAGTGTGGCGGCCATTTTTATTTAAATGAAGCGGCGATTATTTAAATCGTGGCTTCATGTCCCTTTGCCATCCTGCCTAATCTACATGGATCCGCCGACGGAGCCATGTAGTTTAGATGCACCCTAACAGTCAAACCTCAGTATTTCTGTTACAGTAAGTAATCTAGAATCGGCTGGGAACAACAAAGCTGCTGTCCTAATCAGAGTCATAAGAAAGCATCTGACAGGGATCCCAGGCTGTGACCTTGTATGGAACAGAACTGCTGATCCTTGTTGCAAATAAGTTTATTTGGGGAAAACCCTTCCCCCTGAATGGAACATATAGTTAGCCAGATGTAGAGTGGACAAAGAGACCACTCCTAGTATCTTGTAAACAATCTACTCAGGTGATCTGCCAGACTGTTTTGGATTCCAGTAGCTAAGAAGCTTCTATAGCTATTAAGTTGGCAGTGAAGAGCTCCAAAAGCATAGTAGCCTCTTGACTGAGCAGGCTCTTCCCTGCTAGAGCTGCTGCTATGTTCTCTGTGAGGACTAAGAAGAGGCTATTCACCTTGGCTTTAACTGACGTTCTTTAAGATGAGCATCCCTGTGAGGGCTCCACAGCAGGTGTCAGTGCATCCCAGCACCGCACAGTGAATTCCTCCTAGCAGTGCATTGAGGGCCATGCATGTGCGGCATGCAAGATACACGGCGCCGTCCAGCACTAGCGCACATTCATGGTCCCCCTCCCCTCGGTTCCTTCTGTACCGGAATCCAGTCTGGTGGAAATGATTTTTTTCTAGGTCCGAAGTAGAGGGGAAGACAGGAGGGTAGTGGAGCACCCCCAAGGATGCTCATCTCAAATAACATCATTTACAGTCGAGGTGAGTAACCTCCTCTTCTTTGAGAGAGACATCCCTAGGAGTACTCTTCAGCAGGTGACTGCAAAGCAATTTGTCATATGGAGGTAGGGACTTTGGATCAGGAGGTAAGCTGTGTGTAGTACGTATGGAATTTGCTACTCTTGTAGAGTGAAGAGGGCCGGTGGAAAGTGCATAGTGCTTAGTGAAAATTTGTTCTGATGTCTGTGTAGCAGCAGCACATATATAGTCAATGGGAACCTTCCTCAGGTAAGCGACCAAAGTGGTGACTGCTCTTGTGGAGTGTGCATGGACTAAGGTATGTGGTGATGATTCAAATCATAGCACATTGTGATGCAGTCAGAGATCTAATGAGATAGTCTTTGAGATGATATCTGATGCCCCTTGCTATGTTCCACAATGGAGATGAAGAGTCTTGGAGATGACCTAGAGAGTCTTATTCTGTGGAGGTACAAGGAGAGCACCCTGCAGATGTCAAGTAGGTGCATCTGTGCCTCAAAGGGGTTGGAATGAGGCTTGGGAAAAAATACAGGTAAGTGTATTGTTTGATTAAGATGGAAGGCGGAGCGTACTTTGGATAAAAACTTCAGAAATGTCTGTAGAGAGATTTTGTCCTTAAAAAATATGGTGAACAGTGGGTCTGCCATTAGGGCAGCCATATCTCCCAGCCGACGTGCTGATGTTATTGCAACTAGGA